TTCTCACACCAACAGCAGCTTGGAAAGGGACCAGGATCATGGAGGTGTGATGAAACATGCAGGGAGCTGCCACGGGCGGTAAGACTTGGCCAGCTGGTGGAGCCTGCGTTATCCAGGCCCTGGGTGCTAGGGTGTCAGGTTTAGATCTTGCAGGAAGTAGCTGGCGTGATGGCACAGTGGTTAAGATCTTGCAGGAAATGACCAGATGCTCGGAAGATTCTGGAGCAACAGCAGGCTGTAATGACCAAGGACTCTGTCAATGTAAACAGGGGAATTCTAGGGAAGACCAAGTGCAAGAAAGAACAGGATCCAAGGGTGAGCATTTGGCTACTTCCTGTATCGAGGTGCGTGGGTTCAAGGCCCAGCCTCACTCCCTGACTCCAGCCTCCTGCTAATGCCCACCCTGGGAGGCAACAGGTGATGGCTCAAATGCCTGGGTCCCTGCCATCCACATGGGAGACCTGGGGGAGTTTCAGGCTCCTGGCTTCTGCCTGGCCTCAGTTCTGGCCATTCTGGACATTCGAGGGAGAGAACCAGGAAATTGGAATGTGGGCTTGTGTCCTAACTTCCCTCTCCCCACCCTCACCCGACCACATTTTGCCTGTCACAGATTTTTTTTTTTTAAGATTTATATTTATTGCAAAGTCAGATACACCAAGAGGATGAGAGACAGAGAGGAAGATCTTCCATCTGTTGATTCACTCCCCAGCAACTGCAACAGCCAGAGTGGATCTGATCTGAAGCCAGGAGCCAGGCACTTCTTCAGGGTTTCCTGTGCAGGTGCAGGGTCCTAAGGCTTTGGACCATCCTCAACTACTTTCTCAGGCCACAAGCAGGGAGCTGAATGGGAAACGGGCTCACCGAGATTAGAACTGACATCCATATAGGATCCTGGTGCATGCAAGGCAATGACTTTAGCCACTAGGCTACCATGCAGGGCACCACAGAAATTTAAAAAGAAGAAAAGGAAGAGCAGATTCTGGCCAGTAGGGTGAGTCCACAGCCCACTCAGGCCTTCAGTAACCAGGAGACAGACCCCGAGTTCAGGCCACGGGTCGATGCTGTAAATGGCGACATGTATTCAGCAAGCCCTCTGAGTCTGAGCCGGCTGAGCTTTGCCTACAGCTGAAGAGATAAGAACCTACAAGGTGGCCACAGGAAATGACAAAGCAGTGACTGATCAGGGAACGGCTGCTCGGGGCTCATTACAGCACTCACCAGCAGGCGAGACACCCCTTATCAGAGAGCAAATTGCATCAGGGTCTCCTGAATTACTAGCGATTGGAAGCAGATTTCTTGGGACGCACTTTGTTAGATTCCTAATGAGCGGAATACAGGCGGGCAGAGCCCCGAGCTGGTGGGAGGGGGTGGTGGGGGACAAACGTCTTTGTTAAACAGAGTTTGTCAGTTTCCGCTCCAGGCTCCCGGGGGAGGGTTCAGGGCCAGCTAATTGAATTAAGAACCGGTGCACTCCTTTGGCTCGACTCAGGGCGGGGTGAGGGAGGGGTGGGCTGGCCGGAAGGCGGTCCCCTTCAGCACCAAGGACAGCAGCTGCAGCCCTGGATACTCGGTAATAGCTCAGGCCTGGCTGGCTGGAACCCTTGCATTTTGCATGGCCAGGGATCTGGAGGATAGAGCGAGATAGGAGGGAGGCAGAGAATGCTTGCGGAGGAGGAGCCCGGGAGCCTCAAGGCGAAAATGCCCTTGACCCCACAAGACTACTCTGCTTCCACAAGACTGGGCTCCGTGGGCAGCGGCAAGGACGGAAGGGGTGCTGCCTGCACATGGGCAGCACGGACAGCTGGCTCCCGACGAGTGCGTGGCCATGCATCGCTCCGAGCTTTCAGTCAGCCTGCAATTACAGCCCTAATGAAGCGGGATGTGCCTCAACCACGGAGCCTCACACCGGAGGGCCACTTGTCAGCCCCAACACGTCCAGGCAGGCGGGGCAAGCCTCCCCCGCCCCACTGGAAGGCAGCCAGCGGAGGAGGGGTAGCTCATCTCCAGGGCTGCCTGCTCTTCCCCTCCCCAGCCTGGCTCCCCTCTGTGCACCCCCACTCTCCTCCAGAAGGAACGGGTGAGAGCAGATTGGAGTCCAGAGGAAAGCTGTCTTGTCCTGGTGTCCCTTAGCGTAGGAGACAAAAGCCGCTGCCTTAGCTTCCTCCCCCACAGGGCCCGTGGTGCTCAGGGGTCTGAGGATTTTTATATAGAAGCCATCAACCCAAAGGTGCAGTGGGCTCTGACAGAGGATTAGAAAAGTGGCCAGGAGGCAGTGCCAGGGAGCACAACAGTCTATGAATCTGGCAGGGACCACGCGGAGGGCAGAGAGGACTAAGACCCATTCCTCCCCAGTCCCTTCTTCCCTCCTGCTCCTCACAGCCCCCTGCCCACCAGAGATGGAGGCTGAAAGGAAGGGGCCGTGGGGTTTTGCTCGCGTTTGTGTCAGCTTTGTGATGAGATGGAATTAATTATGCATAGCGAATACCAGAATCTGTACCCCCACTCTGACCAAGGCCTCAGCACACCTCAGGTCTGGGTCACTTAGGTGATGGCAGCTAGAGCAGGGGGGCCTTTGCAGGGTGGGAGACGGGCTGTGGGGGGAGGGACTCCCGCAGCAGTTGTCCCTGCTCTCAGGACTGATGGGGACACCCCATGAGGCCTTGCTCTTGATTTCATTACCTCCACTTCCTCCCCTAAATGGATTAGACGGCAGTCTATGAAATCCAGGGCTTCCAGACTGGCTTTCTGCCTGGAAATGAGCAGAAATGTCATTACAGAACCTGAATCAGCAGCTCACCCCAGCTGGGGTGGGTCACCTGGCCAGTGGGGAGGTGGTCTCTGCCCTGGGTAATTATTCTTCCCTTCATTCTCTTCTGTATCCAGTTATCCACCCACCTATCCATCCACCAACACCCTTCCACCAACCTATCCACCCATCCACCCACCTACCCATCCATCCACTCATCTACCCGCCTAACCATCCATCCATCCACGCAGCTACCCATCTATCCATCCATTCACTTACTCAACTGTCCATCTATTCATGCACTTTTCCATCCATCCACCCAGCTATCTATTCATCCATCCATCCATGCACTTACCCATTCAACACGCATTCTGCAATCATTCTAGTGTGCGCCCATTTTGAGCAGGAAATAAATGGCATCCCTTTGCCTACCTACAACACAGAACACCCCATGCCACCTGACTCAGCTGCTACCCCAGGGGTATCTCAGGAGGATGGGCAGCACTCTGCTGAATCTCATCCCTCCTGGAACACAGCTGCTGAGAGAGGCAGGTAGGAGAGACAGCAGGTCTCATCTGGTTGAGAAGCGCAAGGGTCAGCCTCAAGGTCCCCCATTCCTACCCCAACTTGCTTGGATGCCTTGTACCCCCATGTGGCTGCCCCATCCTCTATAGAGTAAGGAGTTAAGGAATTGCTGCTCACCAGATAGCGTTTGATAACGTTATATATTGTTGCTGATGTTATGTTGAGGCTCTTAATTGATTGGGATTTTACTCTGTTGGCTCTACCTTCAGACCAGAGAAGGTCTCCCCAAAAAGCCATTGAACTTATCTGGACAATAAGATGCTGGTCTCTATGCTTGGTATATGCTTGCAATGAAGGAATCTCAACTGAACTTCAACTGTGGTTACACAACAAGGGGGAGGAATCCACCATTGGGGGGAGGGTTAGAGGAGGGGTGGAGAGAATCCTAGTACCTATAAAACTGTGTCACATAATACAATGTAAATAATAATAATAATAATAATAATAATAATAATAATAATAATAAAAGATAGCGTTTGAAAAGGCTATTAAAGGGTCCTGGTGATAAAGGATCATCCTGCCAAGCTCACGCATAAGAGGACTAGAGCACCTGCACTTGGCTCCCTGGGGTCATTTCCGGATAGACATTTGGCCACTTTTAACCCCAAATACATCTGTTCTGGCTGGTACTGTGCTCTCCACCTCCTTTATCTCTTTCTCTCTCTCTGTCTACTTCCAACACAAGTGGTCCACCCCACAGCCATAAGGAGATAGTGACAGCTGATGTGTATGTTGCCTTTGAGGCCCCCACAAACCCCAGGACCTCATGAGACTGTGAACAGTGGACATGTGGCAGGGCCAACCATGGATTTCAGATAAGCTCCCTCGTAAGGATGGCACGCATGCGTTCCTCCATGAGCCCAAAAGCTCAAGGCTCTGTTAAACAGTAGAAATAGCCAGGCTGGCCCCTAGACAGCTGCGGGGAAGGAGAGATTTGGCTGCTGAGCTGGGGCAGCCCAGAAATGCTCCAAACGGGGATGGGTCAAGCCCTGGAGTCTTTTGGGGGTGGGAAGCAGTGTTGACATTGGGGCTTAGACAAGAAGAGATGATAGTGGCAGATGGCCGTGCTGGGGAGGACGAGGCAAGCAGGAAGAAGAAGAGGAGCCTGGCCAGGCAGGCAGAGAAGGGATGAGTCCTGAGAGTGAGTAAGGACAAGAGATGGCGATGTACATCAGATGATGTGGAGTGTAGACGGCCGGGTTCTCTCTCTTTCTGCAGAACCTCACTAAGCACCTGCCGTGAGCCAGACACCATGTGGAAGCCAGGCCACTGGTGTCTGGCCTGCCACTCCAGCCTGGGGTGTGTCGTGGAAGGTGTGGGGGGTGCGGGGACAGTGACTGGCAAGTTCGTTTTTCAAAACAAGTCTCCCAGCACAGAATGCTTGGGAGCAGGAAGCATGGGGGCAGGGGACTGGTTGTAGGGTCACCTCAGGGAGAGTAGGTGGCAAGGCTCTCTGTTCCTGGGCTGAGACCTGAGTGATAGCCCTGTGAACACAGATCCCTAAGGCCTTCCTGGAGGAGGAGAAGGAGGAGGTCACAGCAATCGCAAAGGCCCCAACAGACACAGGCATGAGTTGGGCCTGTGGGTTTGGGCCCAGGGACCCAGGGGCTGGTAGGGGAGGCCCTGAGCCCAGGCCCATCCAGCGCCCCTCTGCACCTTCTCTTCCCAGAGACCAGAAAACGTCTTGACTCCCAACAGCAGCAAGGTCCTGCCCATCCTGGACACTCAGATCTTAGATGAAAAGCTGGGGACCATCCGGGAGTCTTGGTCCAAGACCATGGTCAACTCCACGTCCACAGAGAACTCCAACCCGGCCTCTTCGCAGGGGGCAGAGGAGGAACCTCTGGGGCCAGAGACCTACAGAGATGCTGTGAGTTCTTTCAGGGAGCTGAGGGGGAGCTGTGGGGGAAGAGGCTGGGAGACACAGAGTCACAGAGCTCTTCTATCTGCTGGTTCACTCCCCAAATGGTTACAACAGCCAGGGCTGGGCCAGGTTGAAGCCAGGAGCTTTAGCCAGGTTTCCCATGTGGGTGACAGGGCCCAAGTACCTGCTGGCTGCCAGGCATCTTAGCAGGGAGTTGGATCAGAAGCAGAGCAGCTGGGACTCACACCATCACTCATCTATGAGATGGTAACTTAACCCACTGCACCACAAAGCCAGCCTGCGTGGACCTCTCCTTTGGGTATGCGGTGTGCGTGAACTGGGGGAGGCGTGGGGTCTTTATATGACAGCTGCATCATCGTTTGGATGGAGTACATGTAGGAGGTTTGGGGAGCAGACCCTGCCAGGCTGGTCAGCCAGAGCTCTGCCCACTGCCCGGTGATGGGAATTAGGTGGGAGAGATGGGTATTAGGGTTGACTTGTCCATGGGATCTCAGACCTGGGTGCCAGCCTCAGAGAGGTGGCTCCTCCTTAGCATTCCCAGGTGAGGCTACTAGCCCACAACCTGGGTGGCTTCACCCAGGGCTTCTGCCTCCTTTCCCTCCATAGCTGATCCCATGGGGAGCACTGCTCCAGAGGGTCCTGAGGAAGGGCGCCTGCCAAGGCTGCAGGCCCTGGGGAAGCCCTGGGCCAGGGCTGCCAGGGCTGCCAGGGCTGCCAGGGCTATCTCCTCCTCTTGGACTCTGCCTCTGGCCACCGAAAGCCTCCTCATCTTTCCCTTGCATTTCTGTACCTTTCTGGAACAAGTGCCACCTGCAGACCAGGAAGAGCCGTGTGGGCAAGGTGGGCCGTGGACACTCCCATGTGGGGCGTGCCCAGCCACACTCTCTATTCTGGTCTCACCCATAGCTTTCTTACTTGCTCTTCTATGCCTCCCCTGGGGGAAAAATATCTGCCCCCCTCCCCCGCCACCCCTTCATAAATTACAATGGAAATAAGCATGGAGCATTCCCTTTGAATTTGTTCCTCCTGGACTTTGGGAGCAACAGGGACAAACCAACTCAAAACCTGGCCCTGGGGTGCCCCCAACTCATGCCTCTGAGCCAGGGGTCCACAGGCCAGAGGAGAAGAGGGACGGTGCCCAGGCAGGCAGAACACAGGCAGCGAGGTGAGGGGCCTGCCTCCCATCCGACTACCTGCAGAGCCTCTGTCCCAGCCAGGTGTGGACAAGCATGCCACTAGCATCCCCCTGGGCAGGGGACACACAGCCAGGCCCAGGAGAGCAGTGCTGGGCCCACATGGTTGTGTCTAGCATGGGTTCTGTGGGGCCCTGGAGCTGAGCCCTATGTGGAGTGACCCAGGCCTGAGGACTGACTGTGCCCCCCAGCCATGGGCTCCTGGTTCCCACACCACTACCTCCTGCTGGCCACTAGGAAAGACTACAGGACTGGCTGCTCACTGCTGCTTACCAAGCCAGTCCCAGGGGAAGCGCCCCAGGGCTGGCATTGGGGGAGGATGGTACTGGGCTGTGCCTCTCACTCTCTCCCAGTCTGCTGCCCTGCTCTGTGCCTGACTCCCAGTTCCAGCCCTTCCTCAGACTGGCCACACTGGCTATCCATGGGGGACATCTAACCCGTGTTGGAGCCCTGGCCCTCCGTCTGTGTCTACTTGGCTCGGACACACATGCGTGTTCTCTGGCAGTGGAGCCCAGCTACAAGCCATGGCATGCAGAGGGTGGATGGCCACGTTCCCCGGTTCCTTCACAACTGCAGGTACCATTAAAGCACCGGGTCACTGTTCCATGGCAACGATGCCCAATGACATGGCAATGGACACATGCCTGTGACCCTGACCAACTGACCGGCAGGTTGAAGGCTTCTGTCCTGGGCTGCAGGTGCAGGTGCAGAGTAATGTCTGCCAGCATTGCTCAGAGCCAGGACAGGGGACAGTGTCAGGACCACTGAGCCAGACAGGTGCACAGAGCTACGTGTTTGCCAAGCTCTGGGCACACACATAGTAGCCATGGCAGGGTCTCAGAGTGTGTGAGTCCCAGGCACATCAGCCCCAGGCACATCAGCAGCGGAGCAGCAGGCCCAGCCATGGTCTGCCCTAATATCTATCTGCCGGTCTGGGGTGTGGTCCCCAGAGTCTGAGTGTTGATCTTGTCTCTGGTTTGACACCAGAACCTACCCAAACTTAATAGAAAATGGAACATTTTCTGAAAAAAAAAAAAAAATACTCCTATGGGGCTGCAGAGTCCTAAGCGCTTGGGCCGCCTTCCCAGCCACATTAGCAGGGACCATGTCAGAAGCAGATCAGCGGGGTGGGCATGGAATATGAGTGTCACAGATGGCAGTTTAACCCACTGTACCACACCCTGGACTCCTGGGCAGACCTCCTGAAGTCAAGGCCCCATGGGGTGGGGGGTGGTCTTGGGTCAAGCGTAGGGACCCTGGGCAGAGCTGGAGGGAGCTTTGCCTTTGCTTGGAGTAGCCCAGGAAGTGTGTCTGGAAGAGCCACACATCCGGGTGCAAGGGTGCCAAGACAGGGGACACACAGGGTGGCTGTGGACAGCTGAGGCAGCTCTCGAGGGCTTAGGGTCCACCTACCATGGCCACAGAGACACATCTCAGGCCCCTAGGTTCCCTGCCCCTTCAGCCGCCAGCTAGCTGCCCGCCCCTTCCTTGTGGAGAGCCCGGCTGGCCTGGGATGCAGCTCTGTAGGGAGATTCAGGGAAAAGGAAGAGAATAGGTATCTGGCATTCCCAGCAGGCAGGAGTGAGCCTGGGTCAGGGCGTGGGGCTGGGGGAAGGGTCTGGACAGGCCCACAGTGGATGCACACACAGTGAGTCCTCAGCATGGGGACAGGAAGGAGGGCTTCCTGGAGGTGGTGACCTCTGAGGCTTAGCAAAGGCTCCCTACCCCTCACCTCTTGATCTTCTGTCAATCTCTGACTCACCCCTCTGCTTCTGTCCCTCCCTCCCCCGATCCTCTCCAGGTGGTCCCCATTTCTGTCTGTCTCTGTTCCCCTCTTCCCCAACTCCCTCCACTGCTTCCACTGCCTCCCTCCCAGAGGTTTGTGGCAGACCAGAGGCCCCACTCTGGCAAATGAATAATTGACAAGGGCTGTTTAAAGATTCAGTGCTATTTTCCCAACCTCGCCACACTGAATAACTCATGTGTTTTCACTCGTTCTTGGAGAGCCTCCTCCTCCTCCCCCCATTTGCTCTTCCCCCCCACAGCCCTGCTCCCAGTCCCTGCCTGCCTTGGGCCTGAAGGACCCTAGAATCCCTGCCTGGAGCCCCAGTTTTTTTGCCATCCACTCCCATCCACTCAGAGGGCCTTGGGGACTGACAGCCAGGTCACCCACCTCCTTCCACCCTGCTCTCCAATCCCGCAGGAGAACAGGACGCTATGGCTAGGGGCTCACCCAGGGCACACAGCTGCTGCAGATGGAGGATGGGGTGGACCCTTTATGTCCCCTGGCATGGGCCTCTGGACTGCCCATGGCTACTGGCTCAGGTTCAAGGGGTCCCAGGCTATGTGGATGCTGAGACACTCCAGGAAACCATGGACAGGCAGGTTCATGTCCTCTGCCCCAAGCCGCCTCCTGGACCCTATGCCAGGCCACCTACCCTGAGCCCAGCCCAGCTGCCTCCACTACACTCCTGGCCTTCTCCAGGAGTACTTGAGGCAACCTTGATCTCTGCTTCCTTTCCTCTCCTCACTTTTGCCTCTGTGGGGAGAAAGTGGCAGAGAGCAGATGTTCCCAAGTCCCCTGGGGTTCTGGGCAGGGCTGTCCCCCTCAGGCCCCAGGTCCACCACGCCCAGGACAAGGTCACAGCTGACATTGCAGACAGAGGCTTCTTCAGCACCACCTGGTGGCAGGTACCTGGCCTAGCGGGGAGCTTCTGCACCTCGCCCCACCCCACCCCCACACACACCCCTGGAGGCCAGCAGGAGCAGGATTGTCCAGCCACAGAGGAAACCCAGGGCTGGCCCCATACAGAGTTCAAGCCCAAGCACCCTGCAGCCCCCCAGTCTCCAGAACCAGCAGGAAAAGCACAGGAGGGAGTGCAAGGTGCAACGTGGGACCAAGTGCCTACCTGGGCGGCCTCCAGCTGGTACCCCAGTCCACTATCCCTACAGGCTGCCAGGCACGTTGCCCTATACCCTGCCACCTCCAGACCTGCTGCTCACTCAGCTGTGGTCACCCTCATCCACAGTCCCGCCACCTGCTGTCCATGGGCCCTGTTCTCTGCTCAGGCCTTGCTCCTGGTCCCCTCCACCTGGCCCCCAGGATCCGTACCCAGCCAAACCCGTGTGAGCTTCCCCTTGCCCTGTCCCAGTCCTGCAGACCACAGTGTCCCCAGCACACACACTCATTAACACATACTAACACACACATGCATACTAACATACCCACAGGCTAACACACACTCATATGCACACACAGAGACATACACACACAAACTCACACATGCACACATATTGACACACACTCTGACGCACACTCACTCACCCAAGCTCACTGAGATGCATACACATTCTCCCATACATACTCATACTGACACACATATGCAAACTCAGACACAGCTCAGCAGGCTTTCGGGGGAGGGGGAAGTGGGAGCACCGAAAGGTGGAAAGGACCCCCATCTCACAGACTTCCTTTATCCCTGCACACACCTTCTCATCCGGGCACCTCTGGCAGGTTTGAGCCCAGCCCTCCCTGCCCACTCTCTGTCTCCAGAGGCACTGTGTGACCTTAAATGTGTCATTCCCCTTCCATGGACTCATGTGCCCGTTACATGGAGGCGCCCTCCAATCTGGTCCATCCACAGCCACCTCCTGGGGACACCTAGGCAGGGCCCACAGGGAGCAGAGGGGGCAACCTGCAGGAGTTGAGAACCTGGGGCGGGGGATGAAGGGTGGTGTGTTCAGGTTGAAGATAAAAGGAAAGCAATAACGAACCCCTGGAGGCCTGCCCCT